AGCCATCCAGGTCAAGAGAGACATCAGTTCTTTGATTCTTTGAGAACAAGATTGTCTCTGCTCCCTCCTACACCAGGAGGCCCCAGGTGGAACTGGGTGCTGTCTGCAAACTGCCGTGGAGCTGGGGAGTGGGGTGGGGCACGGGGAGGTTACAGTGTCACAGGCTTCTCCTACCAGGTTTCAGTCACCATTTTCTTGATAGGAGTTCACTTGGTTACTATAAACCTCTGACTTTTTTCCAGAGTTCTGATAAAGTTTTTCTCAGTGGGGGCACAGGTAGGAAGTTTTAAATTACCAATTCAATCTTTTTACTTGATACAAGTCTACTCAGGTAGTCTGTGTCCCCTTGAGTCAGTTTGGGTAATTTGTATCTTTCTAGGAATTTGTCCATTTCAATCCAAGTTTCCTAATTTGTTGGCATGTAATTGTTTGTAGTATTCCTTTATAATCCTTTTTGTTTTTGTAAGGTCATTAGTGATGTCCCCTCTTTAATTTCTGATTTTAGAAATTTGAGTCTTTTTTTTTTCTCTCTTTCTTTTCTTGAGATAAATCCTACTAGTTTAGATGCTACATAGTTTATTCCTTTCCTTTTGGTAGTTACACTTAGATTCCTTTAGAGTTTATACTTAAAATATAAAATCAATCATTGTCACTTTCTTTTTCCCAAATGATTCAGAAACCTGTGAACTCTTAAGCCTTGACTGAGAAAAGTCTGCATTGCTCCTTAAATACAGATGTTGCTGTGTGTTGAGTTCTGGGCTGGCTCCCACCTTTCCTTTGTCTGCTGCTGGTATTATTCCACACCTTCCAGCGTTATTTCTGTTGAGAAGTTTGTCACCAGGCTAGTCATCTTCCCTTTGTAAATCATCTGCTGCTTCTTTTTGGTAGCTTTTAGGGTGTCCTCTTTGTCTTTAGTGTTCGGAGTTCTGCTGCATGTCAGGGAGTGAATTCATTTTCATTTATTCTGCTCTGGCCTTGGAATGATTGGTTGTTATTAACCCCATGTCTTCAAGAATCAGACCTTTCAGCCTGGCATCATGTGCTTCTGCAGTCCCGGGAGCTCCTCCGTGATCTCCTTAGTATCCTGTCCTCCTGTAGTGTCTCCTCTTTCCTCATTTCCCTATTAGACACAGGCCTGGGACTTTTGCATCTGCTCCTCATATTTCCTCAATTTCTCAGTCATATTTTCCATGTCTTTATCTCTCTGTGCTGAATTTGGGGGGGAGTTCCTCA